CACTATGGAAAACAGTGTGGAGATTTCTTAAAAAGCTGGAAATAGAACTGCCATATGACCCAGCAATCCCACTTCTGGGCATACACACCAAGGAAACCAGATCTGAAAGAGACACGTGCATCCCAATGTTCATCGCAGCACTGTTTATAATAGCCAGGATATGCCACTATTTAAACAGAATAAAAAATCTATTAATATCATGAAAACAGAGATGTCAGAAGTGCCTGGTAAACATCCAAATGACATGTTAGAGACTGGAATACTCACCTCTACAATAAGCTATGATAGGTATAGACATCTCCCAGCATTCAATGGGAAACAAGTATTTTCATTTTTATTTCTGTGTTAATTATATCACCACTATCCCACATGTGGGGAGTGTGAAGAACAATGAACCACAGGAAAAGACATTAAGCACAAGCTGCCTGTCTACCCAATACATTATCGAAGCCAGACAGATTCTATATCCACCTTTAAGGCATGATTACAGTGCAGGACCATCACCGCTTCAGCGTGAAGCTGTTATTCACCACACCAAGCTGAAACTATACTCTTACCCTTCTTCATTGGCCTAATCAGCCGTTTTAATAGCCGAGCTTTTTAACAGTTAGGCTGTAGCATCTAAAACTTACACTTTTGTTATTATCATTTATAAGAGCACCCTTGGGAATAGCACTAGGATTCATATTTCCAAGCCATCGTTTTATTGTCCATCTGTTTGAAAGATGTGACAGTTTTAACAGTTACTATGCTTCTCGACATATTTGGAACATTCATTCATGTGCCTTCTCTAACACTCTCAAGTTGGTGATGTACTATATGTATATGTAAGGTAGAAGAAGTGACCAAAAGAATCAACGCATAGATGGCTGAACACCTAGTAAGTTTCCAGTGATTATTTAGGACAAAACAAGATTATATGAATAACAAGTACTAGAGAAGGAATAATAAATATGCCATGGAGAATTTCCCCTAGATAACATTTAAATATCAATAAAACATATAGTTTATAAATAATCAAAAAGAAAATAAATACCTTTCAATATTTGTTTTTATTTCAATGTAATTCTCAGTGAAAAGGGGGGGAAAGGCATCAAGGTTTTGACATTTAAATAGTAAAGTATGCTTTTACTTTGGCATTTTTATGGAGAATAACTAACAGCCATAAAGGACAGGACGTCTGTGGGATATTTAGAGTGTGATTTTCCAAGAGTAGCTGGGAGTAATGAAAACATTTCACCTCAGCCCACAGGCAAGGCAGGGACCAGGCCACAGCTCAAAACTTATTTGTTTGCTAAGAGCGGCTTTTTCTTAAGCCTACGTCTAGATTTATCATTAAAATTATTTCTGCATTTGACCCCTGATTACTAAAGAGTTTGAACTTGCTATCTGCTTTGATTTTGTCTTCCCTGAATTGTTAGAAAAATGCAAAGTTTCATCATGCTTGATTGCTAAGTGAGAGGGTAAGTGTGGAGGCAGTTTTCAAGGAACGCCCCTGTTCAGCTCGCAAGCAGCACTTCGTCCTGATTATGTGTGCACTCAGACAAGAGTGCACGCTTCTCCCTTGATTGTCGCTCACTGGGAAATCATGAATATGTCAAGGAGCTCCTTTCAGCATGGTGAATGCTTCCCATATTTGCAACTTAACACTTCTGATCTCAATCATAGGGTGGTAAGGGGAGAGGGGCCCTCTTTCTTCCACTTACCTAAAACTGTCCCCAACATAATGGACTTGACAGCGTTGAATTCTGTCCCTGAAGACAGGATGACTTGTCTCCTTGCATTCTGGTTAACCTATTAAATATTCCACAAGATGTAAACATCAAAATGGCAAGCAATTTTGATAAGAGGATGGGAATCAAAGGAACACCAAGAAAAATGATAAAAATAATCCATACGTTCAACCTATCACAAAGGTTAAAAGAGAAAAGTATTTTATAAACAACTTCTTTAGCACCTCAAATTTCACTCCACCCCATCCTTTTCCCCTACATTTGTCTTCATGATTTAAGTATCATAATTGGTACAGTCCACAAAGAGATGCAAGAGCTACTTTGAACCTCAAAGTTTTTACTTATTTAGAGGAAATTAATAACATAAACAGAAAAAAATGTAGTATTCATACAGATTCAATATAAAAGATCACTCTTCAAAACCCAGTGACAATGCATAATTTAAAGACTCTGATGTTTTTCAAAATGTATTTTCACTTTAAGCAAGATCGTGCTTTTTCTTGTGTGTTTAAATTTCAGTAGCATTTGTTCTTTTGTAATCCAGTGGGAATAGGTTCCCGTTGGAATATCTCCAGTAGTCCCTATGAAAAACTAGGCAATATTTCCCAATCAAATAAAGTGAAACCAGTGAGGAGAGCATGGTATTTTAAAAGGTCAAATGTTAATAAAAAAAACTTTGACGATCTCTTGATAGACTAACATTGCTAAATGAAATAAAACACCGTGCCTACGTTTCCTTCCCTAGACTTACGGAAGTACAGTGCCGAATGTGCATTTCGTTCATTAGGATTTGTTATCAAATTTTGGCTTTAAGTCATCCTTTCTGAGCATCTTGACTTTGATTACTGCTGCTGCTGTTGAATTGACGACCTTACCTCTACAAACATCACTGCTGCTTCTCGGTTAATCCTCACGTGGTGAAGCTGCCCATCAGCCAGGTTTTTAAAACCAAAATTAAAAACATCAGGTTCTCGGTGTCTGTCTAGTTTATACCTGATCTGCAAACTTCCTAAAGAAGAGAAAAATGACATTTTAGCTAAAATAGAATTTTATAAAAACTGGCAATGCAGGTCCTAATGCACATTAAAAAAATTAATACAATTTGAATCTATGGAGCCTTTACTTGAGTGCATACAGTCACTTTTCCCAGACTAGCAATTATTTATATGCTGTTCTGGGGTCAAATTCAGAATCCAATTACACAGTCTTAAAAGTCAAGACCAAACAGTCTTTTTCCAAGTTCTTCCATTTTCCTGAACCAGAGGGAAAAGTCCAAGTTAAGCATATGAAAACACCAAGTGAGGCTTGAAGTTAATTATTCATGTGGTATTCGTATTATTAAATGGTAAAACCTCAAGCAATTTTGTATTAACTTTCAGTTTCTACAAGCATAACTTCTTTTAATGTGACTTACTTTAATGCATTTTAATGTATCACTGACATTCACATTATTTTTTTGCACAACCAGAAATATTTTCTAATGTTTCTACCATAATCAAGAAATAGCAAAAACAGAAAAGTGAGTGATTTGCTACAATATCCAAATCTCCCAATCCACACACTGCTCTTCTTCACAGATGCACTCTCCACCCGGCACTGTGGTGTCATCTGTAATAGATCCTATTGGTCAGTGATTGTAGGAATCTTTTCCAGAAGTTTCTCCCTTTATTCTCCATGAGAAAGGGTTGAAGCTTAGTTTTGTTCTCTAATGGGAGAGTGTTAGTTCTGCTCTTTTCCTGGTGACCGTGGGTTAGGGAACACTCATTCTACTTTTCTTTATACGTAGATGGGGCAAGGGGGCTTCCCAGGTGGCGCAAGTGGTAAAGACCCCACCAGCCAACGCAGGAGAAACGAGAGACTCTTGTTTGATGCCTGGGTTGGGAAAATCCCTGGAGGAGGGCATGGCAACCCACTCCAGTATTCTTGTCTGGAGAATCCCATGGACAGAGGAGCCTGGAGGGCTGGAATCCACAGGGTCACAGAGTCAGACACGGCTGAAGTAACAGCCCGCACACAGGCAACAGGGCATGACTGACTTCCCAACCTCTGATGGGTAGAGAACAATCACATTTACCTGATGCTCAAGGAAACTGGGTTTGATGTGATTTAACACACTTCATGATTTCACTTCCAAGGAGGAGGAAATAGCTTCCACACAGAAAATGAGATGCCGTCTTTCGAAATGAACAGTGTTGCTGTTGTTCGGTCGCTCAACTGTGTCTGCCTCTTTGTGACACCACGGACTGCAGCACGCCAGGCTTCCCTATCCATCACCATCTCTCAGAGTTTGCTAAGACTCGGGTCCACTGAATAGGTGATGCCATCCAGCTGTCTCGTACTCTGTCATCCCCTTCTCCTCCTGCCCTCAATCTTTCCCAGCATCAGTGTCTTCCAATGAGTCAGCTCTTTGCATCAGGTGGCCAAAGTATTGGAGCTTCAGTTTCAGCATCAGTCCTTCCAATGAATATTCAGGGTTGATTTCCTTTAGGATGGACTGGTTTGATCTTTTTGCTGTCCAAGAGACTCTCAAGAGTTTTCTCCAGCACCGCAGTATGAAATTCTTTGGCTGGCAGCCTTCTTTATGATACAATTCTCACGTATGTTGTTGTTGTTCAGGCATTCTTTGCGACCCCCATGGACAGCAGCATGCCAGGCTTCCCTGTCCTNAGGATGGTCATCTGCATATCTGAGGTTATTGATATTTCTTCCAGCAATCTAGATTCCAGCTTTTGCTTCATCCAGCCCAGCACTTCACATGATGTACTCTGCATATAAGTGAAACAAGCGGGGTGATAACATATAGCCTTGACATACTCCTTTGCCCAATTCTGAACCAGTCCATTGTTCCAAGTCTGGTTCTAACTGGTGCTTCTTGACATGCACACAGATTCCTCAGGAGGCAGCTAAAGTAATCTGGCATTCCCATCTCTTTAAGAATTTTCCACAGTTTGTTGTGATCCACACAAAGGCTTTAGTGTAGTCAATGAAGCAAAAGTAGATGTTTTTCTGGAACTTTCTTGCTTTTTCTATGATCCAACGGATGTTGGCAATTTAATCTCTGGTTGCTCTGCCTTTTCTAAATCCAGCTTGAACATCTGGAAGTTCATGATTTATGTGCTGCTAAAGCCTCACTTGAAGAATTTTGAGCATTACTTTGCTATAACATGAAATAAGTGCAATTGTGTGGTAGTTTGAACATTCTTTGGCATTGCCTTTCTTTGGGATTGGAATGAAAACTGACCTTTTCCAGTCCTGTGGCCACTGCTGATTTTTCCAAATTTGCTGGCATACTAAGTGCAGCATTTTAACAGCATCATCTTTTAGGACTTGAAATAACTCAGTTGGAATTTCTTCACCTCCACTAACTGTTCATAGTGATGCTTTCTAAGGCCCACTTGACTTCACACTCCTGGATTTCTGGCTCTAGCTAAGTGATCACATCATGGTTTTCTGGGTCATTAAGATCTTTTTTGTACAGTTCTTCCGTGTATTCTTGCCAACTCTTCTTAATCTCTTCTGCTTCTGATAGGTCCCTACCATTTCTGTCTTTTATTGTGCCCATCTTTGCATGAAATGTTCCCTTGGTATCTATAATTTTCTTGAAGAGATCTCTAGTCTTTCCTATTCTATTGTTTTCCTCTATTTCTTTGCACTGTTCACTTAGAAGAGCTTTCTTCTCTCTCCTTGCTATTCTTTGGAACTCTGCATTCAGATGAGTACATCTTTCCTTTTCTCCTTTGCCTTTCACTTCTCTTCTTTTCTCAGCTATTTTAAGGCCTCCTCAGACAACCATTTTGCCTTTTTGCATTTCTTTTTTTTTGAAGATGGTTTTGATCACCACCTCCTGTACAATGTTATGAACCTTCATCCATAGTTCTTCAGGCACTCTGTCTATCAGATCTAATCCCTTGAATCTATTTTTCACTTCCACTGTATACTCATAAAGGATTTGATTTAGGTCATACCTTAATGGCCTAGTGGTTTTCCCTACATTCTTCAATTTAAGTCTGAATTTGGCAATGAGGAGTTCATGATCTGAGCCACAGTCAGCTCCTGGTCTTATTTTTTCTGACTGTGTAGAGCCTCTCCATCTTCGGCTGCAAAGAACATAGCCAATCTGGTTTTGGTGTTGACTGTGGTGATGTCCATGTGTAGGGTCACCTCTTGTGGTGCTGCATATCCATGCAGTGACACTAATTATTTCATTGCAGAAGGCAAGACTCCCTCACCCCCACTGCTGTGCTATACAGTATGTTCTCATTAGTTAACTATTTTATACATAGTATCAGCTGTGTATATAAGTCAATTTCAACCTCCCAATTTTTCACACCCCGACACTTTCCCCCTTGGGATCCAGGCAATTGTTCTCTATGTTTGTGTCTCTGTTCGCAAATAAGATCATCTACATGCTTTTCTAGATTCCACAGGTATGCATCAATGTACAGTATCTGTTTTTCCCTTTCTGACTCATTTCACTCTGTATGACACTCTCTAGGTCCATCCACATCTCTACAAATGACCCAATTTTGTTGCTTTTTATGCCTGAGTAATATTTTTTCACATATCTGCTCTGAATCTTCTTTATCCATTCCTCTGTTGATGGACCATAATTGAAAAAGATACGTGTCTCCCAGTGCTCACAGCAGCACTATCGACAACAGCCAGGACTTGGACACCACCCAAGTCAGTCTCTGGTTCTTAAAGTAGACACTCACCGTTTGGGGCAAGGATGACTGAAAGGTATTCCTCGTCGAATGAGCTCACATAGAGCAGTGAGCTGGGTGTCCCTGTGGTCCGGAAGCTCAGTGTGGCCATTTCTCCTGTCAACGTCAGATCCTCATGAAACAAGGCCGTGAAGGAGCTGGAGTTCTTGCTAAAGGTGTCATTGTAATGTTCTTGAAAATTGTAGATCACTGAGGAGCCAGCTCCAAAATAGGCAGAAATGTCTAGAATGGCAAGCGATTTTGGTTGTATTAGCAATATGTAAGTGCATGTGTCTTATTATGTATATTTCTGTATGTGCAAAGAATATCTCTAATCCTCAAATATCTCAAAAGAGAAAAATAATAATGTCATACTCTGCCGAGTATTTTTTGGTTTAGTATTATTTGTTTTTATTTTGGCTGTGACACACAGCTTGCAGTATTTCAGTTCCCTGATCAGAGATTAGACCCAGGCCATAGCAGTGAAAGCACCAAATCCTAACCACTAGGCCACCAGGGAACTCCGCCTTTGCTGTTTTTTAATTTTAAAAAGATATTAAGATGGAAAATAATAAAGCTTAAGTAAAGAGATAATCCCTCCATAGTCCCATAACCCAGAATTGAGTAACAATATTTTATTATTGCCTCAAAAATGCAAAATTAAATGTCCAGTGTATAGTTAGTTAACGTATAGTTAAAGTTTACTACAGCAGTAAACTGTAACTAAACTCCTCAAGGAGACCTCACTGATGCCCCTCTGATCCACTAGAAGCAGTCATAGCCTTGTTAAGAATACACGCTTACCTCCTCCCAAGGGAAATGGAGGCATTCGGGATAGAAACAATTCTATTTCAACTTAGCACAGAGAACTGCCTCATCTTTTCATTGCAGTCACATGCCAGAGCATCCTCAGGAACTTCTCGGGCTCCCTGCGCTGCCTGCAGGCTGTTCCCTGGGCACACTCACCGCTCTCGCAGAACGGCCCGTCGTAGGCAGAGAAGGTGCAGTCACACGAGATCCCTCTGCGCTTTTCTCTGCACCTCCCCCCGTTGTGACACAGGTGGCCGTAGGTGCTGCAGTGTCCTGGGCACCCTGGCTCCACTCCTGGGGTCATCGTGGCTCTCTCTTCCAGGTCCAGGGCCAGCCCGTTCAGTCGCAGAGACCGAATGCACCCCAGGAAGCCTCTCTGTCGGCTTGCGGTTCCACCTACAAGGGAAACACTGCAAATGCAAACGCGTTCCTCGGTGTCTTATCTAGGATTTCACCTTCATGCTGAGCTGAGGCCGTATCTCTGCTCTCTGCTCAGTCATCATGTCCGACTCTGCGACCCTGTGGACTGTCGCCCACCAGGCTTTTCTATCCACGTCCATGGGACTCTCCAGGCAAGAATACTGCACTGTGTTGCCATGCTCTGCTTCAGGGGGTCTTCCCCACCCAGGGGTCAAACTTCTATCTCCTGCGCCCCGGGAATTGCAGGTGGATTCTTTACTGTGAGCCACCAGGGAAGCCCCATATAGATAATGACAAAAAAGTCACTGCTCAAGTTTCATGAACAAATACAATTCTGAAAACATCGTCTGTGATCGAATGTTAAGAACCATCAAATGGCACTGAGTTAAAAGCATTAATGAAAATATTTTTTTAAGGTGAACTTGGTAATATTTATTCTAAAATATTTAGAAGCACATTTTTACATTTGTTCCTCTCTTAAAGGACAAAATGAAGACCACTGATTCTTTTTAAAGTTTAAATTTATAAACAATGACATGTATAATAAAGGTTATATAGTTAAAAATCTTTGCAATGTAATATATATTATAAATGTGTGGTATATAAATTTGTACATGTATTTTATATATATTACAATTTTTGTGCATATATATTTTTGTATAATAGATGTATTACAAATGTATGTATTCAATTGACCAAAAAGTTTATTTAAGATTTATTGTAACACCTTATAGAAGAAGCTAAATGAACTTTTTGGCCAACCCTATATTGTGTGTGTGTTATATAATGCTAATCCTTACTTAAATGAGCTCTGAATAATACAGCTGTGAAGAGGAGCTGAGAAGAGACCAAAGAAAGAGGCGGCAGAAGAGGTAAAACTGAAATTGAGGACCTCAGGCCTCTCACACTCCATCCTGGCAGCTGCGAGGTTAGGTGGTATAACATTAACCAAACAATATACATCTCCCTATTTTTAATCATTTATCATGTGAAAATAATAAAGATGGGAGCACAGGAGTCACCTGAAGTACCTGCTAAAAACAGATTTTGGATTTATTCCCAAAGATCCTGATTCATTGAATTTTCAACTAACACCTCAAGCTTTATAAACATCGCCATAACGAAAACACTGGCTCTAGGCAGGTTTCCATTCAAACTTTGTTCCTAGAAATTCTGTTAATTAATCCTCAGAATTTAAATCAGAAAAGAGAACTGTTCAGTTTCATTCACAATCTGACAACTTTCAGGGAAGCCTCCTCGACTCAGTGAGAACTAACTGAGCTTGAAGCTGAGTCTAATGGTGCCATGGGCTGTACCACAGACACACACACACACGCACACACACACACACGTACACACACACGCGCACACACACATGCACACACCTGCGCACACACGCACGCACACATGCACACACACGTGCACACACGCACACGCGCGTGCGCACACACGCACACGCGCGCACGCACACACATGCACACACGCACGCGCGCGTGCACACACGCGCACACACACGCACACACACACACACGCATAAATTCATTCAACAGCATCAGGTCCTGAGCATTGGAGTAGGTAACTTCTGGCAAAGCAGACTCTGTGCTAATTTGTGATTTACATCCATTTTTAATTGGACTGTGTCCTTATTTACTTTAAAATACGTGAGAACAGACCAAGTGAGAGCTACTTCGTTAATCTGCTTCGTTTCCAAATTAGAATAGAGTTGTCTAAAAAGCAATGTAGCAAAACTTATTTCTCCCTTTGGGAAAAACAAACAATAATAAAGACTAAGCAAGTAAATTAGAGGGAAGACTTCCACTACACATTTATCTTTAAAGAAGGGACAGCAGAATAATGAGTCCACTCTGGTTCTAAACAAGATGTTTGCAATGAGAGCAGCAGAGAGGGAGCAGGGCGGAGAGGAGCCTGGTGCTGGGCTGGATTAAATACTGCTGTGCAGAGTCGCATGAGGCTGCTTCTCTCGGCCTGGCCTCCTACTGTCTGATTTTGGGGGGACATTGGAGGATTTTGTCCCAATTACAAGTCTGATTCTCTGACTTCACTGAGAAGTGAAATGAGAGAAATGGATTAAAAATGCTATTTTTTTAAAAAATAAATAGTAGCGATAAGAGGTAACTGAAACAAACACAAGTTGCCTATGATACTGAGTGCAAGCCTGGGGATCAGTCTAACAAGGGTTTGGCTTCCCCTTCCTGTTGGGTTTCTGTGGTCAAGTCCCTCGATGTCTCTGAACCTCCATGATCTCGTCTGTAGATTGGGTGTAATAATCCGTGGCCCGGTGGTAAAGAACCCACTTGCCACTGCAGGAGATGCAGGAGATGTGAGTTCAGTTTCTGGGTCAGGAAGACCCCTTGGAGTAGGAAATGGCAACCAGCCCAGCATTCTGGCCTGGAGAACCCCACGGACAGAGGAGCCTGCTGGCTTACAGTCCACGGGGTCGCAAAGAATCGGACGTGACCGAGCCGTTGAGTCACATCATCTACGGCAGAGATAAGTTAAATGAGTTCTTCGCACACGGTGTCTGTGCGGCCGAACCACACTGACGCTTTTTTATCAGCTCCATCTTAGCCCTGCGACCCCACCCCAACCCCCTCTTTTCGGATGACTGATCTTCAGCCTACTCACAGGGACTGCATCCCAGCCAGATATTTCCGCATCAACCTTTACCCTTGCCTTCACCTGATATGAAAACTGGAAGAGTGTCTTTTGCTGATGCAGGTCGGCATGCAGGTGCCTCCATGGGGGCAGAAAAATCCTGGGACTGGGCCATGCGTTCTTCTCACTTGGTAGTGAGATTCTGTTTTTAGCTTTGCCACTTCAGATTCCCCAGGACCCCTTTCCAGGGCAGGAGGTGCCCCTGTGAATGCCTCTGGTTCGTCATCCCCTGGATGTAAGTTACCCACGGCACGGTCCGAGCTCTGCTTTATGGAGCTGCCTGCATGGAGTTTCAGTCTCAAAGCTCCTTTTCAGTTCAGAAGTTTTTCTTTTCATTTTACCTTTTAATTGGAGCGTAATTTCTTTACAGTGTGTTGATTTCTGCTGCACAGCAGTGTCAATCAGTCATAATTGTATAGACATATGTATATCTCCCCTCGCCCTGAGACTCCCTCCCAGCCCTATCCCACCCCTCCAGGTAATCGCAGAATCTCCGAGCACCAGGCTGGGCTCAGACGAGTCTCGTGTGTTAATGCATACGCACGGAATCTAGAAAAAGTGCTGATGAGCCTCTCTGAGGGGAAGAACGGAGACCAGAAACAGAGAAGGCGCGTACGGGCACAGCGGGAGAAGGGGAGAGTTAAGGAGGGTTTCATTCAGCACCCCCTTCTCCCACCGGCGCCCGCAGCAGTCGGAGCAGCCGCAGCGGCGGTCTGCCCGTGCGGGGTCCTCGCGCTCAGAGCCGGGCGGACGCCGGCAGCACTCACCCACGAAGAGCTGGCTGTTGAGCTGCAGGCGGGCGTGCCCGGCCGCGGGCGCGGGCTGCGTCTTGCGCGGCTGCTGGCCCACCTGGAGGGACGCTTCTTTCACGTTGCGGTCGGCCCTCACGAGGTGCCACCGGTTGTCATTAAAGGCAGTGGGGGACTGCACCGTGACCTCACGAGGCCCGTTCCCCACGTCAAAGGAAAAGGCCACTTCTGTTGGGGCTGCAAATAAAAATAGGAGACATGCCCGCGTTCACCCACAGGAGAGAAAATTTAGTCTTGAGTAGGTCTGAAAAAAGTACTATGACATGCTCCTCATGAAAGAAGACATGCCAGGGATGCAGACAGATGCCAGTCTGAGCTGGCTGGGGAGGGGTTGGGATGGAGAGTAAACCTGTATCCTGGAGAAAGAAAAGTGAAGCTGATTTTAAAGTATTTCTCCCCAGAGTTTACTGTTCATCCTGCTAAGCCCTAAGCAATAGATATTTACCTACGGAAACAAAACTACTATTTTATCTAACTTTATACAAAGAAGTGATTTTATTTAAAGGTGGTTTAAACCTTTATGTAGTTTTTAAAGCACTAGGTGAATTTCAGATAGCAAGACATTAAGTTTTGTCTACATATATGTAAACAATGTGTTTAGTCAATTAAATCACATAATGTTGTGATTTAGTAAGAAGTTATTTGACCAGTTCGGTTTAATACCCTTTTTGCACATAGAATTAAGACAAGGAACTGTACACACTGTTGTGTGTTGCAGGAATCACTATTTCACTTTCCACTTAGTATTTAAGAAAAAATATAACTGACAAAGGAAGCATGTCAGTGTGTTAGGAGCTAGGTTACCGGCAAGGTTATTGTTAATCGCTGAGTACCCCAGTGGATTTGTGCTGACTGGACAACTCACCTCGCAGCTCTAGCCTGATGAAGTCTGTGATTCCAAGGTTCTCTAAAAACACCCCTGAAGAGGCTGTGGTCTTAAAAAAGAAAGATACGTCAGCACTAAGCTCCCCTCGGAACGTGGGGAAATGAAGGTATGAAGTCTCAGTATTGAAAGAAGCTGAATTCCAAAATGAATCTGTTTACAAAAAGAAAATAAAAGACAATGACAATAGCAGTAAAATACAAGTAACAATTGCTTTTTATATTTCTAGCATTTTTACTGTTCAATGCATTATTTATCCATTCAACGCATTATTTATCCATACAAGCCTTCTTATGGGAGTCTTCTGAACATGTGGCCATGAGATGAATGTCTAAATAGTGATTCTCTTGAGGCTTAAGAATCTGGACATGGCTGCAAGTGAGTGGATGGATAATCACTTTGGTAAAGGCCTGGTTTTTTTTGTTGTTGTTCTTTTTTTAAACTAAATTATCACAGAGTAAAATTGACTTTTTAGGATTTTACAGTTATGTAAAGTTTACAGACTTTTACAGTTATATGAATTTTAACACAGGCATGGATTTTTGTAACCATCATCAAAATCAGAATAAAGAACAGTTCCATCACCCCAAAAAACTCTCTCTTGCTATTTCTTTATAGTCACACCCTCTACCCACCCCTCAGCCTGAACTAGTCTCTGTATTACAGTTTTACCTTTCCCAAATAAAATATAAATGGAGTCAAGCAGAATGCAACAACATAAAGCCTCTGAGATTCTTTTGAGATGCTGCATGTCAACATCTATTATTTTTTCACTGCTCTGTAGTATTCCATCACATGAATGTGCCATAGTTTATTTATCCATATTTAAGAACACTAAAGTTGTTTCCAAATTTGGTCAATTACAAATAGAACTGCTCTAAAAATTTCTGTGGCACAGTGGTAAAGAATCGGCCTGCCAATGCAGGAGACATAGGTTTGATCCCTGGGTCAGGAAGATCCCCTGGAGTAGGAAATGGCAGCCCACTCCAGTATTCTTGCGGGAAAGTTCCATGGACAGAGGAGCCTGGTGGTGGGCTATGTAGCCCATGGAGTTGCAAAGAGGCAGACACGACTGGGCCGCTGAGCGCAGCCACAGGAACACACGTTTGTGGAAGCTTTTGTGTGAGCACATGTTTTCATTTCCCTAGGGTGAATTCCCAGGAGCATGATGCCTGGGTCATATGGCAAGTATACATTTAACTTCATAAGATACTGCCAAACAGTTTTCCAGAGTGATCATACCATTTTTAATTCCCATGATCAATGTGTAACAGATATAGCTGTTTTATATCTTTACCAGCATTTTACATTGTTAGTATACATACTTTTTTATCTTAGCAATTCAAATTGATGTAAAGTAGTATTTCATTGTGGTTTTAATTTTCCTTCCCTAATAGATAACGATGTTGGGCATCTTCTCATGTGCTTATTTGCCACCTTGTGTCCTCTTTGGTGAAGAGTGTGTTCAGCTTGGGGGCAACTGACATCTTTCTTACTTTGAGTCTTCCAATCCATGAACACAGTGTATCTCTTCCTTTATTCAGAATTTTTGATTCTTCAGTATTTAGTCATTTATTTGGTTTACAGATTTTATACATGTTTTTGTTAAACATATACCTGAGTATTATATGTTCTTTGGAGATACTGAAAATGATATTCTCTTATAGATTTTGGTTTCTAGTTTACATCGCTAGCATATATAACTGATTTGTCTGTTGTTGACACTGCATCTTGAGATCTTGTTGAGTTCACTTATAAGACCTAATAAGGTTTTTGTTTCTGTTTTGGGTAGTACATTCCTTGAGATTTTCTATGTAGGCAATCGTATATGCAGGCTTCCCTGGTGGCTCAGTGGTAAAGAATCTGCCTGCAATGCAGATGTAGGTTCAATCACTGAGATGGGGAGATCCCTTAGAGAAGGAAATGGCAATCCACTCCAGTATGCTTGCTTGGAACATCCCATAGACAGAGGAATTTTTTTTTGTTGTTGTTCTTTTTTTAAACTAAATTATCACAGAGTAAAATTGACTTTTTAGGATTTTACAGTTATGTAAAGTTTACAGACTTTTACAGTTATATGAATTTTAACACAGGCATGGATTTTTGTAACCATCATCAAAATCGGAATAAAGAACAGTTCCATCACCCCAAAAAACTCTCTCTTGCTATTTCTTTATAGTCACAGCCTCTACCCACCCCTCAGCCTGGCAGTCATGAACTAGTCTCTGTATTACAGTTTTACCTTTCCCAAATAAAATATAAATGGAGTCAAGCAGAATGCAACAACATAAAGCCTCTGAGATTCTTTTGAGATGCTGCATGTCAACATCTATTATTTTTTCACTGCTCTGTAGTATTCCATCACATGAATGTGCCATAGTTTATTTATCCATATTTAAGAACACTAAAGTTGTTTCCAAATTTGGTCAATTACAAATAGAACTGCTCTAAAAATTTCTGTGGCACAGTGGTAAAGAATCTGCCTGCCAATGCAGGAGACATAGGTTTGATCCCTGGGTCAGGAAGATCCCCTGGAGTAGGAAATGGCAGCCCACTCCAGTATTCTTGCGGGAAAGTTCCATGGACAGAGGAGCCTGGTGGTGGGCTATGTAGCCCATGGAGTTGCAAAGAGGCAGACACGACTGGGCCGCTGAGCGCAGCCACAGGAACACACATTTGTGGAAGCTTTTGTGTGAGCACATGTTTTCATTTCCCTAGGGTGAATTCCCAGGAGCATGATGCCTGGGTCATATGGTAAGTATACGTTTAACTTCATAAGATACTGCCAAACAGTTTTCCAGAGTGATCATACCATTTTTAATTCCAATGATCAATGTGTAACAGATATAGCTGTTTTATATCTTTACCAGCATTTTATATTGTTAGTATACATACTTTTTTATCTTAGCAATTCAAATTGATGTAAAGTAGTATTTCATTGTGGTTTTAATTTTCCTTCCCTAATAGATAACGATGTTGGGCGTCTTCTCATGTGCTTATTTGCCACCTTGTGTCCTCTTTGGTGAAGAGTGTGTTCAGCTTGGGGGCAACTGACATCTTTCTTACGTTGAGTCTTCCAATCCATGAACACAGTGTATCTCTTCCTTTATTCAGATTTTTTGATTCTTCAGTATTTAGTCATTTATTTGGTTTACAGATTTTATACATGTTTTTGTTAAACATATACCTGAGTATTATATGTTCTTTGGAGATACTGAAAATGATATTCTCTTATAGATTTTGGTTTCTAGTTTACATCGCTAGCATATATAACTGATTTGTCTGTTGTTGACACTGCATCTTGAGATCTTGTTGAGTTCACTTATAAGACCTAATAAGGTTTTTGTTTCTGTTTTGGGTAGTACATTCCTTGAGATTTTCTATGTAGGCAATCGTATATGCAGGCTTCCCTGGTGGCTCAGTGGTAAAGAATCTGCCTGCAATGCAGATGTAGGTTCAATCACTGAGATGGGGAGATCCCTTAGAGAAGGAAATGGCAATCCACTCCAGTATGCTTGCTTGGAACATCCCATAGACAGAGGAAGCTGGCAGGCTTCGGTTCACAGAGTCACGGAAGAGTTGGATACAACTTAGTGACTAAACAACTGACCAACCAATCAAGTGTGCATGTCAAATAGACTTTTCTTTCTGGCTTTCCAGTCTTTATGCACTTATTTTCTTTCTTACATTATTGCCCTGGCTAAGACAATGATAAATATTGTTGAATAGAAGCGGTGAGATTGGCTATCCTCATCTTGTTCCCATCCTGAGGGGAAAAGCATCCAGTTTTTTACCAATAATTATGATACTTCTGTATAGATACTGTCTTATTAGGCTAAAGAACTTTCTTTTACACCTAGTTTGCTAAGAACTTCATTATAAATGCTATTATGATATAAATTATAATTTTTAATTTGGTATTTTAGCAATTTAAATTATAATGTTCATATTAATTAATACAGAAAAAGCATCTGGCATGATTTTTCTTCCTTAGAATGTTAACATGGTAGATTACATTGATCAGCTTCCAAGCACTGAACCAGCCTTGCATCCTGGATAAACTGCAGACGGTGGTGGTGCCTTTAAAAAAAATCATTGATCAGCTTCCAAGCACTGAATCAGCCTTGCATCCTGGATAAACTGCAGATGGTGGTGGTGCATTTAAAAAAATCATTGATCATCTTCCAAGCACTGAACCACCCTTGCATCCTGGATAAACTGCAGACGGTGGTGATGACTTTAAAAAAATCATTGATCAGCTTCTAAGCACTGAACCAGCCTTGCATCCTGGATAAACTGCAGATGGTGGTGGTGCATTTAAAAAAATCATTGATCAGCTTCCAAGCACTGAACCAGCCTTGCATCCTGGATAAACTGCAGACGGTGGTGATGCCTTTAAAAAAATATAGACTCCTGGGTTATTTGTTACTGTTTTGTTGATATTTTTTGTGTCTATGTTAGTAATAACATTGTTAATAGTTATCATTCTTTTTACTGCCTTTGTCTAGTTTCAATATCAGAACAACATTCTGCTTTAAATGTTGGAAAGAATTTCCTCTTCTATTTTCTGAAAGAGATTTTATAGATACGGTATTATTTCTTGAGTAGAACTCATCAGTGAATCAAGCTTGGTCTGGATTTTTTTGAGGGTTTTTAATTACAAATTCAATTCCATTAATACTATTAGGTCTATTCCAGTTGTCTCATTCATCTTGAGTGAGTTTTGGTTGTTGGTGGNGGGTGGAGAGGGAGGTGGGAGGGGGGACTGGGATGGGGAATACATGTAAATCCATGGCTAATTCATTTCAATGTATGACAAAAACCACTGCAATGTTGTAAAGTAATTAGCCTCCAACTAATAAAAATAAATGGGAAAAAAAATGAAAAGAATGTGTATTTTACTGTTCGTAGAATATTCTATAAATGTCAGTTGGTTTCTGGTGTCATTCATTCAGGTCTTCTGTATCCTTGCTAATTTTCCATGTATTAGTTCCATATATTAATGAGATAGGAGAATTAGACTCTAATTATAATTATGCATTTCTCTATTTCTCTTTTCCATCCTGTCAAATTTTGCTTTATGTATTTTGAAGCTCAGTTATTTGCATACATATTTAAGATTCTTAGCTCTTCTAGTTCTTTTTTATATCTATTAATTTACTTTGCTTTCAAGTAAAAATTGTAATATAGAAACTCCAGTGTTTGTGTAGTATATCTTTCTTCATCATTTTATTTTATTATGTCATTATATTTGAACTGAACTTCTTACAGACAGTATACTCTTGAGTCATAACAATGTCTTTTATGAGTTATTTAGACCACGTACATTAAATACGAATGTTGATATGTCAGTTCTTCATTTCATTGTTTTTTCCTATTTGTCCTAGTTTCGTTCTTCTGCTTCCCACTTTCTGCTTTCTTCTGGATTATTTAAATACTTTCCCGTATTCTATTTGTATTTGTCTGTAGCAGATTTTCAATTGGTCTTTTAGGGATTACAATATATATACTTGACTTTCTCAGTCTGCTTGAAATCTGTATTTTAATCATGGTAAGTGATTTGTAAAAACCTTGGAAACAGTCTGACCCTCACCTGCTCCTGTTGATGTCGTTGCTACTTGTATTACATCTATATAAAATAAAAGCCCCGTGAAATAGTGCTGTGCTTTCAGTCCTCAGATACATTTAAAATAACTCAATATGAAGATAATCTATTAAATTACCCAGGTATTTGCCATTTCTAATGCTGATTGTTTTATCCCTGAAGTTCCAAATTTCCTTACGGTACCATTTCCTTTCTAATAACTTCCTTTAGAAATTCTTTTAAAGGATGCTTTCTGGCGATGAATGCTTTTGGTTTTCTTTCATTGGAGATATTTAAAAGTTTTACCTTCATTCCTGAAGGATCTTTTTGCTGAACACAGAATTATCAATTGACAATACTTTCAAAGTAGAAATATCTTGCCATTTCCTTCTGGCCTCCGTATTTCTGATGAGAAACTTACTGTTTCTGATGAGAAACTTACTGTCATCTGAATTGGTGTTTTCCTATAGGCAATGAATAATCATTCTGTCTGGCTGCTTTCAAAAAATTCTTCTCTTTGTCTTCAGTTTTCATCAGTTTGCTTACAATATGTCTAGATGTGAATTTCTTTGAGTTTATCCTGTTTCAGATTCATTCAACTTCCCAGTGTCTCTTTTATCAAACTTGGAAAGTTTTCAGCCATTATCTTTTCAAATATTTTTTCAGGACCAACACTTTTCCTCTCTTCTTATGGAAATTCAATTACATGAATATTATATTTTTTATTATTAACCCACAGGCCCCTGAGACCCTATTCATTTTTTTCAATCTTTTTTTTCTTTCTCTTGCTTAGATTGGATAATTTCTATTTATCTATTTTCAAGGCCCTTGGCTGTTCCATCTCAAATCTTCTACTTAAGCCCATCCAGTGCATCTTTTAGTTCCATTGCCATACTTCTCAGTTCTAAAGTGTCCTTTTAGCTTCCTTTATATAGCCTATTTCTTTATTGAAACATTCTCTTTTTCTATTTGTTTCAAAAGCATTTCTTATTATTCATTACAATTTTGTGTAATAGTTGTTTTAAAGTCTTTATCAGTTAATTTTAACCTCTGTGTTATTGGTTATCTATTGATTACATTTTCTTATGCAAACTGATTTTTCTGGTTCTTTGTATGCTAATAATTTTGGATCATTTCTTAAATATTTACAATACTATGTTAACAAACTGGGAGCTTTGTTTAAATTCAAGGAGTATGTTGATATTTTTATTTTCCAGTCCTGTTGGCCTGGTTACGATCTGCCCACACATTTCAACCTTCCCTCTGTGGTCCATGGCTCCTACGGCAGTTCAGTTTTCAAAGTTTTTGCAGTGCTTTTCAGATCTGCCTCACCTTTGCGCCATTCGGTGGCCAGTCTGAGTCCTGGATGGTAGCTTCTTCACTCATTCTCAACTTCTTGGTCTATAATTAGGACCAGTTTGAGGCAGGTGAAGCTCGCAGGTGAACCCAGGACTTCATGAACAACTTATAGCATCACTTTCCTCTCTGTGCACTTGGAATACTTTCCAGTTCCCTGGGGCTCTCTTCATTCACACAGCCAGAAAACCAGGGTTCTATTTACCTGCTTTATTGTGCTTTCCTATTTACTTCTGTTCCTGTAGCTACATCCATTGCCAAGTGATGGGGAACAGAGAAGGAAAACAAAAGTAACATGAGTCTGCCACTGTTTGGGAGTCAGGGCTGTCCCGTCAGAGCCCCGTCTCATGCATGCTCCTGAGGCGATTTCTGCCACTGTTGCCATGGGGTTGCCCGGGAACCGGAACCTCAGAAAACAGAGATAAGGGTGAGAGGGATGAGATGCCTGTGCTTACTGACAGGAGCTCCCTGTCGCCTCCTCCAGGCAGGACTAGAGGACTTCCCCCGGAACTCTCTCCCTCTGTGACCCCATGGCTAAGAGATGGAGGGAAGCGCATGGTGAATTCTGCTTTCTGTTCCCCGCTACTGTTTGCTCTCCGGCGTCCTGAGATAACTGCTGCGCGATATTTAAAGCCATGAGATAATAGGCAAAGATCACCAGTGAAGAACAGACAGGAAAGAGGGCAGACAATAGCGCCTTGGGGAACCCCAACACTGTCCCACTGGCAAGATGAAGAAGGTTAGGGAAAGAAGGGAAAAGACAGAATTTTGTGGTATGCTGGCTACCAAGTAAAGAAAGTGACTCAAAGAGCAGGGAATCATGGGAGAATTCCAAAGCTGCTGACAGGTCAATTCAGATATTTATCAGAGAATAAGAGTTGGACTTAGCAATGTCGCATTCTCATTCGTGACCTAGAAAACCCAGCTTCTGAGGAGTAATGAAGGAGAGTATCTGTCTTACATTCAAGAGAGACTAGAAGCAGGGAAATTAAAAATAGGACTCATTTTATTTCAGTTATTTGGGGGCAGTGAAGGATATGAAAGAAATTAAGGTGCAGTTGGAGGGGTAAGTGGAGTTAAGAGCATCAAGGCTTCCCGTGTAAATATTAAGAACTACCAGAAGGCATTAATGCATAGATGCACTTGATGGATTCTGTCCTCTCATTTTCTCATTATTTCACCAATTTCAGGCATTTCAGCCCTCAGCAAAATGTCTTATACTTAGTAGGTACATATTGGATGTTTGCTGAACAAGATACATGCTATTTCAAATGATTCCATGAGTGTTTCAGCAGAGTCTGGTGTAGATTCTATATGCGTGCCTGTGGACCAGGTCACTTCAATCACGTCTGACTCTTTGCGACCCTATGGCCGGAGGCCGCCAGGCTCCTCTGCCCGTGGGATTAAACCCTCCAGGGAAGAGGACTGGAGTGGATTGCCATGCCCTTTTCCCGGGGGCCTTTCCCGCTCAAGGATCAAGCCCGCGTCTCTTATGTCTCCTGCATTGGCCGGTGGGTTCTTTACCACCAGCGCCACCTGGGAAGCCCTAGATGCTATATAAAAACACATAATCCAGAGGTAGTACTTTTCTCAGTTATGTTAGCCACACACGCTTATTTTATAGGTTAATCCATTCCTGACGAAGCACAGGTGCTCAGTATAGACAGCGACTCTATGAACCCAGGCAGTCAGAGCGCTCATGAATCACTGAAACACACCAGCGAGGGTCAAGGCGGCTCCTCTCGCCACTACTTACTGTCCCCGGAGCAGCGCAGAGGGCCCAGTGCGTAAGCCGCCCCAGAGTGTGGCCGCCCTCCGCCTCGCGTCACCACCTGAGTGACCGGCAGGCACTTCTTACGGGACAGGACGACTGTGGTGCTGGTCCTGCAAAGCAAGCACAACCACCGGAACATGGTTTCTAGTGATGCGCTGGGGGTAAAAGCGGCTCACTGCGGTTCAAGGGGCATTAATCTAAACTGGGAAACATGTGACAGGAGGGAAATCAGACAGCTCCTCCGAACACTTACAAACATACTAGTGTGCTGAATGAGGTCTTCTGCGGACCAGAGACCTTCGTTCATCTACAGGGCCATAGAGAAGAAAGCAGGCAGGTCCAAAACTGTGGTCACAGGAACAGACATGAAATTGCATTTCAATGCAACGAAGCAGCTTACTGCTGTTTGCAATGCAGCCACTGTGTCACACTGGAACGTAACATGTACAGAGGCAAGAGCAGTCTGCCTTGATTCAAAAAAGAAGAAAAAGCAAAAGACAAAAACCAAAACCATCTGACTGACAGGATTAGGTTTTCAATTTTTGGACTTTGTTTTTTTTTACTAGAAGTTTCAGAAATTCTTACTGTGGTTATGCAGCATTTCCTTATTTGTTGAAGCCTTAAATTTAAAAACAAAATCAAAACAAAATACTGATTCAAAACCATGAGGAAGATATGATACAGTGTATTCTTAAAATTAATAAATGGGTTAATGCACGAGAAAGTGTTTTGCCAATGATTTTCACCATCCATTCATTCAACAAACACTTATTTCACATCCTCTATTAGTCACGCCCTGTGTGTTGGGGAAGTGAACAGAAAACCCATTGTCAATGTCCCCCAGAAACCTAGTGGATGTTATAAATAATAGAAATAACAATAATATCATCATGTAAGTGACTATTCGGGGACATATTAAAATTCATCATGTAAGTGACTATTTAGGGACATATTAAAATCTATGGTTCAATACAATTTAATGACTGGAACAAAAGCCAGAGGACATGGTTAGTAAGCTGTTTGTACTGCCAACGTTCTCTCTGGACAAAGTAGAAAGATTTCTGTAAGCTGTTCATATTTTTCATTGTATATTTCAATTACATATGTACTTCTAATTTATGGACAAATACTGGTTTGTCTATTGTTCTGTGTAGAACCTAGCAAGTTTTCATTTTTAACAATTACAAAATTACCAGTCACTCATATATATAGTAATTGTTCCAAATTATATATGTATTTATATAAGTTGAAGAATTATCAAAAATAGTGCAGGTCACCTTACAGCTTTGCTGCAAAAAAAAAAAAAAAAAACTTCCTAACTTAATAGTTAATCATTCCAGTGCTGTTAGGCATCAAAATATTCTTTTAAGTTGGAAAATTTTAAATTATTAAGATTTTTATTTTATTTAAAAATTTGAGCACAGCGACTGGCAGTGCATGTGGTAAGATCTGAAAAATAGGGACTAAACACCCTAAAATTGAAGAAACAAATATTAAAAATCAAATTGCTTCAAAAAATCAGACTGAATTAAGCCCCATGGTTTTATCTGGGGAAGCCCCTGTGACTGCTACCGATAGAAGCACACAGGCTTCATCCTAAACACAAAACACCCTGCTTTGTGGGGATCACAAGCTAGAAGGTGCCACTGAACTACAGGGCAATCAGTAGGGAAAGTTATTTTGTTATAAACACAGATAGCACACCAAATTAATTCCTGGTATTAAATATCAGTAAGCATTACAAATAAGTATTTTAATTCCTATGACTGCTATTTTGGCAGATATCTTAGAGGAAAAATATAAGTGTATTAGTTCTTATTGAGAAACTTAAAACTTTAAAAAATCATATGCAAATAGTGTGCATTAAGGTAGATAATATCACTAAGTACCTTCCTGAATCTGAGAAAATTTTAAACAATTCTTACTTCAAAATTCTTTATTAGTATAGATCACTCCCCATTGCCCATGCTTCATGCAAAATATTGTAACCCGTGGTCGGCAGCTCGTGCTCACGCTCAGCCGCACACTGTGCTCGACTCGGCAACACTATGGTCACCAGACTCACTCAAAGCTGCCTAATTTACGATTGTATCTCACTTTTCTTGCTTTTCAGTTTTTCCCCAAATTTGTAAAGATTGCATTTCTAGGCATAATAATTTTTCACAACAGTTTTAAACATTCAGTAAGAAAATCTCTAAATTCACTTTTTTCAGAGAGTCTAATGCTTTAGAAATTCTTACTGTTTGTTGTTTGTCATTAGCTATTTTTGAGGTATAATAGAGCTTTAAGAAGGTTGAGTTGCTGGGAAAGTTGCAGGGGAGAAATACTGTGTCAACTTTAAGTGTTACGATCACTGGGGAGAAAGAGGGACTGGTGACAGTATAGTTTTCATCATCCAGAATTACATACTTGGAAGTTCCAAGCTCTTTATCGGGTTTGCTGTTCTACTGGCTCACCCCTTTGGCAAAGTCATGCTGTATTAATTACTGAGGTATCATTAAGACTTCTTCGTGTCTGGTAGGGCTGGTCTCCCCACCTTGTTTTCATCTTCATAGTCATCTTAGCTATTTATGTACCATTCTTTCCCCAAATAAGTTTTAGAACCATTTTGTCACTACTTAAAAATCATGAACAAATGTCTAGCACTTGTTTGGAATTAAATGGAATCAAGAAATTTATTTGGAGGAGAGATGCTTAGATTTCCTATTCATGGCAGTGGTATGATGTCTCCATTTATTTAGGTCTTCTTGATTTTCATAATAAAGTTTTATAAAGTCTTTTTTATCAAAGTCTTGCATATTTTTGCTAACTTTATTTCAAGATACACTACTATTTTGTTGCTTTTGCAACTGGTTTTTATAGGACTTTCTCATAATAACACATTCTTGATAAGAATTCAGTTATTCTATGATTCAGTTAAGTAGTCTTACTAAGCTCTCATTAATTTCAATAACATTTCTGTTTGTTCTCTTAGGTTTTCTTTGTTGACATCTGTATTTTCTATGAGTAATATAATCTTTATTTCCTTGTTTCCAGTCTTTCCAATTGCGATTTTGAATTAACTCACATATTTTTTTAGCTTTCCATTATTCATTTCTAACCTAATTGCATTGCTATCAGAGAAACTGTCCATAGGATAACAACTACAGTAAAAGTTTATTTTATTTTATTTTTATTTTTATTAGTTGGAGGCTAATTACTTCACAACATTTCAGTGGGTTTTGTCATACATTGACATGAATCAGCCATGGAAAGTTTTTGAGTTTCGCTTTATGGAACATTGGGAAAATCAGTTTGCAGAAATGCACCATATGTGCTTGAGAAAATTATGTGTTCTATAATTTTATGTTCCCAACAAATCAAGCTGTTAACTTAATTTGAAAATATTCAAATTAACTTAATTTGAAAAAAAGTTCTTACTAATTTTTGTTCATTTGATTACCAATTACAAACAGATATTCTTATCATGGTTGATTTGTGAATTTCTTCTTTCAGTTCTGTCAAAGTTATTTCTATATATATTTCTAGTCATTTTTATTGGAAGCATACATGTTTAGGATTGTTAATTTTCTCTGGTGAAATTAAGAAGTATCATTACATAGTAACAGTGATCTCAATCCACCTAAAAAACCTTTAAAATTTACTGACTTTGTGATATTTAGCTGGTAATTCTTTGCTTTCAATATTTCCACTTGTACAAACAAGATGCAATATGAGATCTGGATCTAAATGGTTATTTTTGTCACATTTGTTGTGCAGGATTGTTCACACATTTTTGTCTCAGACTTGTTGCTTTCTCTTCTTTTTCAATCTCACGTTCTATCTTCTTTTGCATTAACTAAGTTTTTAAAATCCCATTTTTTCTTTCTTCCCTCTGCTGAATTGAAATAATTCTTTAAGGGATACATAAATTTCAATATATACACTTTAAGCAATTTAATTCTAATAAATATTTACAAAAACAAGTTTAAACTTCAACAATATTTTTATTTCTAAGCAGTCTTTTAGTTCCTTTGTAAACCACAATCATCTTTGTTAATAGGATCTGACTGCTTTCTTATGTTTCAGCTTCATACATATGGTCATATGTTATCAGTACCTGCTTTCCACCTCTATGTTTATAATTTTTTTCCTCAATATTTCTTCCTGCTTCTGAAACCTTCCTTGTAATATCACTTTGTTTCATTCTGAAAATCATTTTTAAAAATCCCTTTTGTGTAATTTCATCTTAAAGGCTGTAGGGGGAGAACATTTAGAGTTCTACACTATGTTGTTTTGTCAAAAATAGTCCTGGTTACATGAGGGTTTTTTTTTTTTTTTTTAAGTCTTAATTTCAAAAAATAGCAGAAACAGGATCATAAAGTTTTAAAATGCTTAGGTGTGGTAACACTGTAATACTTAATGGGTTGACAAGTTGCTGGTATAATCAGTCAACTTAGAGACCATCACAATGAAGCAAATGGCCTCATGTGTTAATGTTAACACTGTCAAAGACTCGACCAAAACAACTTTGTCTAAGGTTTGCTGTGTTTACTGAGAAAACAAATTCTTCCTAGCAACTGTTTACATAAATCTCACAGATGCGACAGACCTTTTTAGTGGCCTGTGATTAAAAAAATATGGCTTGCTTTAAAAAAAAAAAATCCCTTTATGGAGTCTGCTGCTGGTAAATTTCTCCAGTGTTGTTTGTCTAGATCTGAATTTTATAGCACTTCTTAAAATATCAGCTTCGTAAACACTGGGCGTTTGACAGGCATTCCACTTCTGCCCTCTAAGGGGCATGCTCCACCCTCTGTGGGCTGGGCTCTGGGCTGGTCAGGGAAGGTCAGCTCTCTGACTGTCTTTCCTTCCAGAGTCTTCCTTTCCTATCTCCTCCTTTAAACATTCTCTTTAGTGTTCTTTGATTTCACCATCGATGTCTAGATATGGATTTACTTTTATTTATTTGCTTTTCGCTTGGGGTTTTAATATTTCCTCAATATGGAAATTTCTCAGCTGTTTGAGTAGTGCCTCTTTTTAGTTATTACATCTCAAATATTTTCTTCTGAAACTTTAATCACACACATGCTCAATCTTCTTCACATGACTCTTCAATGTCACCACTTTCCTAGGTCCCATTTTGTTTTTCTCCATTCATTTTGTGTGTCATTTAATTTACACACCTTTTCCACTAATATCTGATCCAAAAGTTTTCAACTGAGTAATACTGTCATTATTAATGACAATATATTCATTTCTAATATATATTGATATATCTGCTAATGTATTCATTTCTAAGCATTCATTTGGTTCTTTTGTGAGTCACAGTCTTCTTTGTTAACAGGAAGATTCTCACGTTTCAATTCTAGTTTTGGTTTTTTGAGCAGCTCGCATGTTTATTTTATCTGATGTTTTTAATGTATCCTTGATCTGAGATGTTTAGGTGTTGGCTCTACTCTTTGGGGTTTCTTCTGCCTCTTAGTCGTGTCCTCTGGCGTTGTATAACCCTGGATTGTGAGTCCACGTTTGTCAGCGTTTTATCATGGGAATCCTGTGAGACCTGTGTGAAGGGGGAGGGCAGGTCTCCAGGGAGAATATCGTGTAATCTCAGGATGAGCCACTGGTGCTGCCAACCTGTGGCCATGTTAACCAATTTAAGGACCATCCAAGTTATGTCAATTTGGGCGCCAAATGTGTGAAAGCAGGTCTGTAGACATGAGTTTTCAGGGAGAATTTTTTTTCTACTCAGAGTGCTAACTAGAAGATCTGTCCTCATTGACTTTTTGGGGGTTTGTAGCCTTCTGAGACCTTCAGCTGCATGGAGAATTTTGTGTTCTCTGTATTCTCTTTCATGGACTCAAGGCCTTGTCTGGTTTCCCCTATGTGGCCATTCAAGAAATCAGCTGGAAGTTTAGGAAGGTCAGTAAATAATCCCAGGTGAGTCATGGGGTGGTCATCTTATTAACCGAAATAACTTTAAGAAGTCTTATATTTCACTTTCAGCGAATGGGAAACATTCATTCCTATTTTGTCTTAGTAGAAAAATAAAACAGACATGCTTAGTTATTCACCAGTAAACAAAAGTAGCTACCTACTATTTTAGGCTTTTGATTAATGACACTATATACACATCACAGCTTATACTTTTAAGTTGCTAGGGCATACTTTAATTTATTCTCTTTATTGTACTGTCATTTCCAATGTCTGCCTAAGGTACATAGTTTAAGCAACAAAAAAATCACAGTTTGCACAGGGAAATTATATGGAAATCACCATTCATTCCGGTCAGCATCACAGTTGCAGTAATATTGAGAATCAATGCAGTTCCCCTCTAATCCACAAGTACATTTGTGAGCATCAGGCTGAGAACCTCCCCAGTGAGTGTGTGTGTCATTGGCTCTTCCAGCCCACCAGCTCACTGGGGTTCCATCTGAAAGACAAGTATGAGAAAGGTGACACCTACTTTGCCCCCCACCACCTGCCTCCCCAAAATAGCTCCTTTGCTCCTCTTTATTTAAAGCGTAGAGAGACTTTTAGAAGCATATTTTACATTTTAACTCTGCAATAGGATCATTTTTAGGAGGAGTCCCAACTATTTAAAAATACATACTTTAATGTCAAGTCATATCATTAACCATTTTTTTTCTTTTATCAGAAAATGAGCAAATTGTCCCTAACTCATTCAAGCATGATGTTTACATATTTCTCTTGAGGATTCCAATTACATCATTTCTGCAGAAATAATGTTCAAGAAAGATTTGTCATCAAAATAGAAACCAGAGTAATTTATACATTGAATCTAAAATCCGTTTGAGATCCTATTAATAAAATGCCATTAAAATGTTCCATGTTATGCAAAATATAAAATTCTTTCACTTTATGTATTAGCTAAAAACACTGGCACTTCCTAGCATATCTTTAAAGTTTCTTAGGGATACGTACTTATACTAAATGGGTTACTCTGTTTGGAAACTAAAGAAATGGCACTAGTCAGCCTTCTTCATGCCTGGAGTGAGTCTTCGGTTTGGACAAATCTGAGACAGCTACAGAGTGGATCTTCAGCAAAACCCACTCCTCAGTGCAATGCGTAAGTGACAGGAGCAGAGGCTGCCTCAGCTGTGCAAGACTGCTTATTTATGCTGCAGACGCTGCCGGAGCCCCAGTGTGGGATCACAGAGCATCTGGAGGAGGACGTTCGGTGAAGGTGGCGCACACAGGGAGGCGGAGAGGAGACGTCCTGGTAAACACAGACTCAGGGCGTGGGGAGCAGGGAACGGAAGTGACGTTAAATCTGTACAGGTGTCTGTGTTTTTCACTCTTAAGTTGTCCCCATCAGGCCCCCACCAAGGATCTGTAGCAGCTTCTTCCTAACTTACAATCGCCACTGCTCATTATGGCTCCCTATTCGATGAGACTCTGGCTTCTGCTGACAACCTCGCAGCTTGTAAACACATTCATTACCATGCGCTGCGGGCCCAGCGGGTGCAAAGTGAGCCAAGAAATCAATGTCAGCCATCAGTTTTTAAAATGTGTTGAAAACATCTCTAGGAGGTGGAAGATCTTTTCAGCTTCATATTTAATAAATATTTAATAGGTATTTTTCAAAATTCCACCTTAAAAATGTAATCATTCAACATCTTCTTTCATTGATTGAAGAGCAAAGAAATCATTATATGCAAATGCACAACTGTGTTTACATTTTTCTCTCTAAAATGAGAACCGTAAGGGTTCTTAAAGGAACAAAATGTATGTGGCTCTATTCAAAATTCCTTTGAGTAACCTAGAGAATTTGCATAAGAAAGCATTAGGAATAACACGAAGAAGTATTAGAGGCTGAAATGAAAAGGAACAGGAAAGATAGCAATGAGCAGGGTTCACGGCTCCACTTTCTCAATTATTCTAGCCCGTGGGTTACTGCCCTCACCTGCCACTGCGACCATCCTCAACGACCTTAAGCATTCACAGTATGGTGATGGAATGGTTTCCTAAAGTCAACACAGTCACACAACTTCCTCTTTAGCCACCTGTAATCATATCCCTGAAACTATCCGTAACACAGAGACCTTAAAGATGCTGAAGGAAAAATGTTCCAGGATCTGAGCGAGATCCTAGGCCCTCTGCTCCTCCCCAGCCCTCTTGGAAATCAAAACCAATATGAGGGCTGCTGCTCTGGGCACCAGGCTTATTACAGCTCCTCTCGATTACCACCGCCACTCGGTCTCCTGACAACTTCTGAGAATACGAGAGTGGAAAATTCTTGAGCTAAGGCTGAATTCTGACTGACGGTCCCCAGTCTGTCCTATAAAATTCCTAAGCTACTTTCTTCCCAAACTGCAGTCCCCTTGCGCTGTTTTCACACTGCAGCCATCTAGTGAGGGACCCAGGTTCAGCGTAAAGAATCCGCTTGCAATGCAGGAGATGCGGGTTTGACCCCTGGGTTGGGAAGATCTCCTGGGGAAGGAAATGGTAACCCACTCCAGTCTTCCTGCCTGGGAAATCCCATGGACAGAGGAGCCTGGGGAGCTACAGTCTGTGGGGTTGCGAAGAGTCAGACACGACTTAGCAACTAAATCAGCAGCAACCAAGGACCCAGGCTTTGTTGTTTCACTCCTTCCACACAAGTGTGACATCAGAGCTCTGCATGCTCATTGTGTCTAGTGATAATACCGAGTAAATTAGTGCGAACTTTTAAGGTGTATCGGGCTACACTATTTACCTTCCTCATCTCAACCTTAATTAAGCACATCTGGAAATATGTAGGTCTGCAGTGAATTTGTCTAAATTAAGTTTGTACTAAAAATTCTCCAGCAGCAGCATATAAGAAATGCAAATAACTTGAGCATGTATATTTAATGAAGTCCTTTATTTTGCTTCTTTAGTAGGTGTTTATCAAGTTTATAGGTCTTTTCTCTTTCCATCTTTTCCCCTAGCCTCAATTAAATATGCATTTAAATACCTGTTGGTGGTGGTGGTGGTGCTATTTTACATATTTATATTGAAGGGCTAATGTCCAGGCTCTGGACTAGACCATCTGCTTCTGTGTATGAGTTTGCTCCCTGGCTCACAGGGTGGCTTGGTTTTATGGCTTTGTTAGTGGTTGGTTTCAGTGCTACTGTGTCTTTGCCTGTTTTCCTTGGTTAGAGAACCCATGAACAATACTCTCCTGGAGGCAGCTTTCTCATTCTTCTGGGACCATAGAATTTTAGTTCAGTGATCTATTTGGCAATAGATCTAATTAGCAATCTAGTTAGCAATCAACTAACAGTAAGCACTAAACCCGCTAGCACTAACTATAAATTCAATAAACCAGAGAGATGCAAATAAGTAGCATTTACTTCATGCCATTTATAGGTGTGGTGCAATTAGGTTCTAGCAGAGTTAGCGCCTTAGCCCTGAAGACTCAGAAAAAATGATTTCCTAAGTCTCATAGCTGCTGAGTGGCAAGCCTGAACTCTGAGGACCTGCCTAGCACTCTCTGCTCATTCCAATCCCCAGATGCCTGATCAGAGGACCGGCAGGCCAGCCTCCAGAAAATCAAGTAGTTGCATGCTTCATGCAGGCAGTCTGCACATTCCAACAAAATGAGGTATTTCAAAGGAAGAAAATAGAAAATCAAAAATAAAATTTTTCAAAAGAAGAAAAGATGTGGAAAATAAACTGCTAGAACTTAATGTGTGAAAGAACTGGTGATACCAACATTTTTCCCTACTTTATAATTAGCCAAGACACTAATCACATTCAGTGTAGGAAAAAGGATCTCACCAAATAATCACCTCCATGTAAGTAAGCCATGTTTTTGTTAGCAATGCTTCCCAAGATACCAAAGGATTGAGACGCCCCTGCTTTTCATGGCAGATGAGTACTGAGCCCTCCGGGGGCCTCTTTAAGAGGCTTTTACTGCTCGGTTGCCCAGTTGAGTCTGGGGATGGGAGGGAACTTCAGAGCATTTACGGCTTTGGGCAAAGATTTTGGTCTTTGCTCCAAGAAAAAGCATCCCAGACTGTGACCTGGGTGCTATGGGCACAGATTCCCATGCATCTGTGGCAAGCCATTGTGACCTGTGGGGACAATAGCTCATGATGTCTAATTACTCTGATTACTCACCTTGGGGAGTTGAAAGCCTTGACTTCTTGCAGTGGAAAGTCAGCTCCTGTTGGCAGTTGTCCGCATAGTCAATGATGGTCTGGAGTTGGTCCATGCTGGCCATGTACTTGAAAAATACTGGATGGGGGCTTTCTTCATTCAAGCTTTTGACCCTGACCAAGTGGGAGCCGTTATGTTGCACTGAGGTCCACGCAGTGTCTGGTGGGCAGAAGAGGGGTTGGGAGAAAGCAAGGAGACCGCAATAAGGACGGACTCACTAAATGTAAATACGGAAAGCAGAGCATCTTTTATCTGTGTCTGGTGGGCAGAAGAGGGGTTGGGAGAAAGCAAGGAGACCGCAATAAGGACGGACTCACTAAATGTAAATACGGAAAGCAGAGCATCTTTTATCTGTGTCTGGTGGGCAGAAGAGGGGTTGGGAGAAAGCAAGGAGCCGCAATAAGGACGGACTCACTAAATGTAAATACGGAAAGCAGAGCATCTTTTATCTGAACTAAGTTTTCTTTTATTTTTTTGTAGTCATCAGCTCTCTTTGCAATTAGAATCAATGAGTGGAATTCTCAAAATGTTTAATAGGAGGGATTCTCTTTATTGAAATTTTCACTACCATTATTATAGGCAACATTGTCAGGTGGCCAATTTTTAAAATTCTACATTATAATACTCAAAGTTATAAATAGAACTTTTTGGCCTTAATATTTTTGTTTCCATTACTATAAGGAGAAAGCCAAAAGTTACTGTGTATATACTTATCTTTTTACAAGTATATTTCTCATCTGAGCATCTTTTCCTCTGATAATCAGAGGAATGTGTCAAAGACACATTTGAGGAATAAGCTGCAAGCACGATCATGCAGAATAACAGAAGCTAAGTATTTTTGACAAAAATTAATGAGCAGTGTGTCAGCAACCTGTTCAATGGCCAGCACTAAAAAACACAGTGCCTAGGAATCGACTATTCCCAGCAGTGACCACAGTTACATGAATGCCTGTTGGAAAATTCTCACATATTTCTGTTACACTGATTACCTACATTTTCAAAGAGATTTAAAAAACAATGCATACTCCATAACGTTTTTAACAGAAGAAAAACAGCTTGACTTCTTTTACCTCCCCCCCCAACATACATCCCACCATAAACACCTCCCCCCAATATGCCTCCCGCCATAACCGCACAGAAGCTCCCACAGTAGAGAAGGCCATGGCTCAGTGGCTGAAAGGCTGAGTTCAAGCTACCTTAATTCAACTATCTCTATAATGTCATTTAACTTTCTCTGCAACATGTATTTGATAAATGATCAGTCTGCACACAAACTTTCTACATTACAGAGCAGGAAGCAGTCTTATTGAGTTTATATTATTTCTTAATAATTAATACATGAGTATAAGAGCAAAAAATCAAAACAATAATACAAGGAGTTCACCTAGGGGTCCCCACAGGTCCCTGTTCCTTTCCTACCCTGGGAATGTGGGTCTGGAAAAAACCTAAGAGCTGTGCTGGTGCTCACAAACCCTTAACGCATGAAATACATCAAGAGACTCAGGGAAGAGAACCCCAAGGGCCATGGGAAAACTCTGGTTCAAAGCTTATGGGAAAAAGCATTATTAATATGCAAAACTTAGCAAGAACAGGAACAAACAGTGAGTCAGCATGACCAATGCCATTTTATATTCAATTTAAAAAAGACTTAATGAAAAAAAAAAAAAAGACTTAATGGATCACCCACCTATCTGCTCACTAGAGGGGGCTGTGAGTGTTCCCATGGCAACTTGAAATCCACAGATTTTGTTTCGTCTTTAATCATGTTTTCACTAGACATTTTACATTTCAACATTTTCCTGGAAAATTACTTAAGTGGGTCTGGTATTATTTTTGGTAATTACCTACTCCCATTCACCCCCAGGGTTTCTTCCATCAAATGAGATGAACGTTCAGGGAATCATGCAGAAGACTGTGTCAGGCTTGGGAGTGCATCAGTTCCAGTGCCACTGCGTCATTTATTTTCATGGCTTAGGGCACAAAGAAAAATGATGTGCCTGAATGGTTCATATAGGCTAGTGGTCAGTATGATAGATTTACGGTCTTGCATGGCTAAGGTATAATAAAGAAATCTTTCAAATGGAGAGAAGGGAACAGTTGAAAAGAACCTGAAAACTGCTCTTCTGAAAAATACTTTAAATGACTGCTCTTTCTAGAAATATTACTTAAAAGACCCCAACAATGACACATTATATTTCTCTAATATTCCACAACATATTATTTTCATAGATTTCAAAACCATGAACCTTTGACACGCCACATAACCTTAATTTTCAAGCACAAGGAGACAGACTAATGAATGAAGTGACCAGCATGATGGAAAAACTGTTGTTCTGTCACTAAGTTGTGTGGAACTCTTTTTGACCCCAAGGACCGCAGCATGCTAGGTTCCTCTGTCCACCACTATCTCCTGGAGTTTGCTCAACTTAGCTGTTATACAAGGTAGTCTGAAGCACAATTTTGGATCTGAAGTAATTAATTTTGGTGGTGGTGGTGGTTTATTCGCTAAGTCGTGCCCGACTCTTGCGACCCCAGGGACTGTAGCTTGCCAGGCTCCTCTGTCCGTGGGATTCTCCAGGCAAGAATACTGGAGTGGGTTGCCATTTCCTTCTCCAGGGGATCTTCCTGGCCCAGGGATCGAACCCTGGTTTCCCACATTGCAGGCAGACGCTTTACTGACTGAGCTACTTTTTAATCATGGGCAAATTTAAACACGAACTTTGACCCTTTCAGAACATGCTAATCGAACTCAGTGGGGTCTTCCTCTGCAGGAGCAGGGAGACCAGTGGTGGCACCATGTCAACCATTTTGCTGGGACAAATGAACCTAGCCAAGTTAATTTGCTGGTTTGGTTTGATATTTCATAATAATCACACTGACTTACCATAGCATACGTTATCCTTCAGTTTGATTTATTCTTTCTTTTTGCCAAGTTATATTCACTTTGCAATCGGCAAGACTTCTTACACTTTATAATAGACCTCTGGACTATACAAGGAGTCTTTTATAGCAAAACAATCAGTTGTGGAAAAAGACCCAGCTCTTTATTTTACACATTCAGGTAAATATACATTGAAAGTATATCTGCTATACTCATTTCCATTTCTCTGAGATGTAGACAGAAAATAAGGCTTCATTATGAAAAATCTGATGCCTTTATAGTTGGTGGGTTCATTGCTCATGATCTGGAAATTGACCTCAAAGAAAATGAAGGTAAAAATTCCTCCTCCCACAGATGCCTGAAATGAAGTTCAATTTGTGTCCAGTCACTTCAGTCGCTCAGTCATGTGTGACTCTTTGGGACACCATGGACTGCAGCATGCCAGGCTTCCTTGTTCATCACCAACTCCCGGAGCTTGCTCAAACTCAGGTCCAACAAGTTGGTGATGCTATCCAAACATCTCATCCTCTGTCATTCCCTTCTCCTGCCTTCAATCTTTCCCAGCATCAGGGTCTTTTCCAGTGAGTCAGTTCACTGCATCAGGTGGCCAAAGTACTGAGGTTTCAGCTTCAGCATCAGTCCTCCCAATGAATATTCAGGACTGATTTCCTTTACAATGGACTGATTGGATCTCCTTGCAGTCCAAGGGACTCTCAAGAGTCTTCTTCAACACCACATTTCAAAAGCATCAATTCTTTAGTGCTCAGCTTTCTTTATAGTCCAACTCTCACATCCATACATGACTACTGGAAACACCATAGCTTCAACTAGATGGACCTTCATTGGCAAAGTAATGTCTCTGCTTTTTAATATGCTGTCAAGGTTTGTCATAGCTTTCTTTCCAATGAGCAAGCTCCTTTTCATTTCATGGCTGCAATCATGATCTGCAGTGATTTTGGAGCCCAAGAATATAAAGTCTGTCACTGTTTCCATTGTTTCCCCATCTATTTGCCAGGAAATGATGGGACTGGATGCCATGATCTTAGTTTTTTGAATACTGAGTTTTAAGCCAGCCTTTTCATTCTCCTCTTTCTCTTTCATCAAGAGGCTCTTAAGTTCCTCTTCACTTTCTGCCATAAAGGGGGTATCATTTGCATATCTGAGGTTATTGATATTTCTCCTGGCAATCTTGATTCCAGCTTGTGCTTCATCCAGTCCAGCATTTCGCATTTGTGTCCAAGCAGAACATTTTTGGAAATTAAGCCAGCTGCCTTTGTTTCTTCTGATGAGAAGAGAGTAAATGTTCTGAGAAGACCGAGAAGGCAAAATGCCAGATGACTTAGTTTGTCACATCTATCTCCAGGTAGAGCTAGTCAAGAAGATGCAAACAGGATGATAAATAAGGACAGACAGATGTAAACACTAGCAGCCATTCCTGAACCCACAAAGATAATCTGAGTATTACAATAGAGAAATATCGATAACCTTAGATATGCAGATGATACCACCCAATGGCAGAAAGCGAGGAAGAACTAGAGTCTCTTGATGAACAGCAAGGACAGCAAGAGATCAAACCAATCACTCCTAAAGGAAATCCACCATGAACACTCATTAGAAGGACTGATGCTGAAGCTGAAGCTCCAATACTTTGGTCACCAGATGTGAAGAGCCGACTCACTGGGAAAGACCCTGATGCCGGGAAAGACTGAAGGCAGGGGGAGAAGAGGATGATGGAGGATGAGATGGTTGCATGGCATTACCAACTCAATAGACAAGAATTTAAGCAAACTCAGGGAGATTGTGATGCACAGGGAAGCCTGGCATGCTGCAGTCCATGGGGTTGCAACTGAACAAGAACAACAATAAAGACCCAAGACAGCCTTCTCAGAAACTGTGTTACTATACAGAGAGAAATATCATTACAACTAGCTGTCACTTTTTATTCACCTCAACCCCCTTGCCACGCAGATAAGGAAATGGAGGTCTAGAAAAACTCACTTGCAAAACTAAATTCATAAACTATGGAATTTAGCCACACATTTCTAAGTAATATGGTGTAAGTCACTGAGCTTTCTGAGTAAACTTCTTAAAGAGTGCTAAGGTCTGTAATTTTCCCAGACAGTCTTACTCACCTGAGCCCTCTCCTATATTTCCAATGAAAATAGAACTGGATCCTGGTCATTTATGTGCTCATAGGGCCAATAAAGGCCAAGTCCACTGTCCCAGATGTTCGGAGGGTGTCCTGAGGAAGATGATGGTCAGCTCTCACTTGGCCCTG